CCTTCCAGCTCTATTAGGGGGGGGGGGAGGTGGCTCTATTATTTTGACCATTACTTCCAAATAGCAGACGAGTTTTTTCCCAGCTCCAGGTGAACGGATTTTCCAAAGTAAATAGGCGAATCGACAGTTCTTTTCCCGCGCTACAAGATGCCGACCACACCGAGCCGATGCGATACCCTCGTCCCGACTTATGAGGGTTTTAAAATGACATAGGAAATTTCGAAAATGAGCGAAATTTAGACGGCTGTAACTCCCCCAAAACGTATTCAAATGTCTGAAGTGACGTGTTCATTGGAAAGCCCATCCAATTCTCTTCAGTTTCAAAGAAAAAAAAGTCCGATTCGGTAGATTTTCTGAAAAGTTACGGACCTCCGGAAAAAGAAGAAGAAGTTTTTAGGTGGCTCTATTATTTTGAGCGCAGATATATACATTTGAGCGCAAATCCGATTTGAGCGCAGGTATGATTTGAGCGCGAATGCGATTCGGGCGCGGAACCGATCTGGGCGCAAGTGCGAACCGAGCGCGAGCCAGTTTGAGCGCAGCCAACTTGAGCGCAGTCAATACGAGCGCGAATCAATTTTAGCGCGAGCTGATCCGAGCGCGGCCTATTTGAGCGCGGCCGATTTGAGCGCATTGAAGACCATTCGTTGTCACGGGGTCAATTGATTTATATCTTCTATATATATAAAAACGTATGTCTGTCTGTCTGTTTGTCTGTCTGTTCGTCTGTCTGTTTGTCTGGTGTCACCTATAGACTCAAAAACGGCTGAACCGATCGTCGTGAAAATTTGTGAGCGTGTTCTGGGCGATCCAGCGGTGGTTATAGGGGGGTCAGTTCTCCGATGCGATGAGTCCTTCTACCTTGAAAAAATTATTTGAGTGCTCCACCCACGAAAATACGAAAACTCGGGAAAAAATTAAAAAATCCGAAATTCGCAAAATTCACAAACGCCTGAACCGATCGCCGTGAAAATTCAGGGGTGGGTTCTCGGGAGTTGTAGAAAAGCGATGAGGGGGTCGTCGTGCCCGTATGATGGGGATGAGCTCTTTCTCCCTTGGAAATTGAGTACCGGGTTCCTCAAACGCCTGAACCGATCGCCGTGAAAATTCAGGGGTGGGTTCTCGGGAGTTGTAGAAAAGCGATGAGGGGGTCGTCGTGCCCGTATGATGGGGATGAGCTCTTCCTCCCTTGGAAATTGAGTACCAGGTTCCTCAAACGCCTGAACCGATTGCCGCAAAAATTTAGGGGTGGGTTCTCGGGAGCTTCAGGAGGGTCATATGAGGGTCGTCGTTCCCATGTGATGGGTCCTCCCACCATAAAAAAATTATTCGAGTTGTCCTCTCACCGAGAAGCAAAGATTTCATGAAGGGAAAGACGGGAATTCTCAGGATTTCTTATCGGCTGGACCACTATGAGGGGGTGCATTCTCGGGAGCTCCTAAGAAGGCTATCGGGGGTTGCCGTCATCATTGGCCTCTGTCTCTCTACTAATGAATCTCGCTGAAAATTCCTGTAGCCTTGAAGGGTAAAGATTTTCCGGAGAACATATGGAATAAAAGCGGGGACACGGGGGAGTGGGGAGACGGGAGAGTAGGGAAACGGGAAGTAGGGAAACGGGGAAGTGGGGGAACGGAAACGTGGGGAAACGGGAACGTGGGGAGACGGGAACGTGGGGAGACGGGAAAGTGGGGAAACGGGAAACGGGAAAGTGGGGAAACGGGAAAGTGGGGAAACGGGAGAAAGGGGAAACGGGGAAGCGGGGAAGCGGGGAAGCGGGGAAGCGGGGAAGCGGGAAAGCGGGAAAGCGGGGAAGCGGGGAAACGGGAAAGCGGGGAAACGGGAAAGCGGGAAAGCGGGGGAACGGGAAAGCGGGGAAACGGGAAAGCGGGGGAACGGGAAAGCGGGGGAACGGGACGCGCACCCAGAGCACGCGCGACCAAAGCAAGCGCATCGGGAGCCAGCGCACTCGGAGCTAGCGCATGTGCAGTGAGTCTAGCGATACCGAGTCGCCGCGAAGCGGCGACCGGGAGCGCTAGTATTTAATAAGGAAGTTAAATAACAGATTGCGATCTAGGTATCAAAAGAGTACCTGAGCCCACCGAAGATAAATCCCTACGTCCAACGACGGAGGATGTGGATTCACCGGTGAGCCGNAACCTGTTAATGAACTGGTCACCACTTAATCTTTCGA